CCACCTTAGGTGTATGTGGCTGGCGCCTTAGCCACTTGAGCCACAGGCACCAAGCCGGTACATTTTCTTGATAACTGGGTTAAGAATTATTATTAAAAAAACAGGACAGAAATAGAAAGAATTGACATTGAGTACTTACCATACATATGCATACCTTATGTCATTAAGTACTCATGAGAACTCAAGTAAGTAGATCTTAACTCATTTTTATAGATGAGGACTATTAAACTCAAAAAGATTAAGTAATCTGCCTAAAGTAAAATAAGTCTGGCAAAGCAAGAACTAGAATCCAAATCTTTATAGCTTCCTGTTTTTTTTTTTTGTCTTATAACATTATTTTATTTTCTTCTACATAGACATCTTCCCCAAGTAATGTTGCTACAACAACTTGGAGTGTGGGGTTTTTTGGTTCAAGGTAAACATATCAAAAAAAAAAAAAACTAGCTTATCTCTGTTATACAGAGTTGTGATATAAAAATTATTTATAGGCTGTATGTTTCAGAAATCAGGTAGCTACACTGTAATCCTCCTGAATAAACTTTCTTATGAAGCCTATGTGATAGAAAGAAGAGATATAACTAAAATAATTAAAATATCTTCTGACCATAATGCTTGAGACCAAGAAAAGAATGTTCAGTTTTTTCTACAAAGAGACACCAAGATTTTTTCATAATCTCCCTTGGTTTCATCCATGATGGCTTGGCAAAGAGAGACACCATACATCTTCTGATAGAATGCCTTGATATCATTCATGTCAACTTCAGAACCAGAAACCATAGTCCTGATCAATTCCTTATGACGAGTTCCAACACCCTTCATGGCATGACCAAGCTTCTCCGCAAAGAAAGCTGGTTTGCTGGTAGCGCACTTCACAGTGGCTGTGAGGCATTTCTAATGTCACCTTTCATCTCCAGGTCCAGAGCTTTGTTCATGTCATACTTACTGTACTTGGTATATTTCTGAAACACTCTGCGAAGATGGGGGTAGCTCCTGGTGGTAAGAATGGTAATGAACATGTTGGACTCTGTCCCCTTTCTCTTTTCTCCTGCTTCATATAAGGCCCGTATCAGCCAAGTCTTCATTCACACCAAAATCCTCACTTCGGTCACCCTTAGCAAGAGAAAGCAAAGCATTTCGGAAATCTCCAGATGTTTCTGAGGTTGTATCTTTGGCCAGATCTCTTTTCAGTTTGTCTCTGTAGACTCTGTTCATTTCTCTGATTTCTTTGTTACTTCTTGATGTCAATATTTCAGTCAGAGTGTCTTCATCAGTTCCAAGGCCCTTCATGGCAGCACGGAGTTCATCAGCATCGAACTGTGCTGGGGTTTTTAGAGGTGCTAAAGCAATTTCCTTCAGGTGGCCTGTAAGGGCCGTCTTCAGCATTTCATCCAGGGGCTTTCCCCTCTCCTGTACTGCTGCTCTTCATTTTCAATGAACCAGGCCTGCTTGAGGAATTCTGATACCATTGCCATTTTTAAAGAAGTGTCTGTGTTTTTATCCTCTTCCAGAGAACAGAGATTGTGCTCTGAGGGTTTCTCAGCTTCATGTTTTTCTGACTAAAAAAGGTGACTGATTCTCAACCCTTTTCTGTGTCCTATTATACCTGACAACTACAAATTCACATTAGTTCAGAGGGTCATTACAGCAGTGCTTCTGCACCTAGGTATGTGTCATATGTAAGGAAGGAGGGTGGTAACAAATGCCTCTCAAGGGAGCTATGAAAGAATTTGTGTGTATAGGTGAGGTGTGGCTTAAAAAGTCTTCTGGATGAATTTTACATAATGATGTACATATGAAATGCTTTGCAAATCTCAAAAAACCCCAATGAGTTGAATGATGGTCAATGGGGTGTCCAATCTACGGCCTATGGGACGCATGCAGATTATTTGAGAACCATTTTGGGTATCTGTGGGGTTAGATATTACAAAAAGTTTGCACAGACCTGTTTCTTTGCTCATCAGCCTTTGTTAGTGTTTATGTTTCAATGTGTTATTAAAGCTCTTATTATTCCAATGTACAGAAGAAAAAAAGTTGGGCACCCCTGAAGTTAATAAAAAGAGCTAGATAGGCTTCCACAAGAAATGAGTCAAAGAATGGGCTTTATTTTGCATGAAAAAACATAGTTTGAAAAAGCACAGCTAAAAGGCTGGGCATGGTTGGCTCTCATGCCTATAATCCTAGCACTCTGGGAGGTCGGGGAGGGTGAACTGCCTGAGCTCATAGGTTTGAGACCAGTTTGAGCCAGAGTGAGACCTCATCTCTTTAAAAAAAAAAAAAAGCTAGGTCCTGTGGTGGACACCTGTGGTCCCAGCTCCTTGGGAAGCTGAGGCAAGAGAATCACTTGAGCCCAAGAGTTTGAGGTTGCTGTGAGCTGTGATGCCATAGTACTCTACCAAAGGTGACAAAGTAAGACTCTGTCTCCAAAAAAGAAAAGAAAAAGCACTGCTGGAGTTGAGATACACTCAGAATTGATAAGACTTTCAACACTTTAAGTATGAGAAGTGTGGACTAATTAATCAAAGGTTGAAAATAGTTGTTCCTTAATGTTTGAAAAATAAAATCACAGGAAATATAAAAAAAGTTTTCTTTATTCAGTGAGTAGAAACCTATGAAATGTCTAAAATTGAACATATAAGTAAATTCAAGAACCAGTAAGCTAAAATACAGATAAAAGATTCAGAGCAGAATATTGTTATAACTGTGGTAAGATACAATGTAAGGATGAGGTAATTCTAGAACAGAGATCAGTAAACTTTTTCTGTGAAGGGTTAGATACTAATATTTGAGGCTTTGCAGGCCATAAATAGCCTCTGTTGTATATTCTTTCATTTGTTTTTTTACACAATTCTTTAAAAATGTATTATGGCTAGGTGCCATGACTAACACCACCTATAATCCCAGCAATATGAAAGGCAGAGGCAGGAGGATTGCTTGAGCCCAGAAGTTCAAGACCAGCCTGGGAAACACAGCAACCCATCTCTACAAAAAATTTAAAAATTAGCCAGGTGCACACCTGTGCTCCTAGCTTTTCCAGACCAAAGAGGATCACTTGAGCCTAGGAGTTGAAGGTAGTGAGCTATGATCATGCCACTACTGTCAACCTAGATGACAGTTTGGCTCATGGGCCATAGTCTACTGAACCTTGCTTTCTACTACATGCTTAATATAAAGAACTTTATAAAGTATGAAAAAAATTACCGTTCCAGCTTTCCAAGTATTTTAACTTCCATAGTTTCTTCAGAATTGCCAATAAATACAATACCAATCCTAGAGATTAAAAGGACAAAGAAAGGTTAAGACTTAAGAAATGGTATTTCATATTTTGCAGTATGCCATTATAGTCTAGCCTGAGAAAAAAACATTTAAAGTAACAGTTTAGAATATATTTTAAAGTATTTCCTTTACATAATATATCATTACTTTTAAGAATCTGAAAGATCTAGGCAGCGCCTGTGGCTCAAAGGAGTAGGATGCCAACCCCATATACTAGGGGTGGCAGGTTCAAGCCTGGCCCTGGCCAAAAAAAAAAAAAA